CTTGCCATCTTATCTTTCTAAATGTCCCCAGTTCTCTTTTGTTGAAACCAGGCATAGAACAAAGATCAAAATAAACCCAAAAAATACATTCTGGGAACTTCGAATTCAGGACTAGAGACTGTCCAAGACTGACCTTCAGTTCTGAGCATTGAAGTTCAGAAGTGGACAGGTGGGAACACTGCATTCTTCCTCGCCCTTTGGTGCGAGATACATTCTGTGTTGCAGAGTAAGTGCCAACAGCAGCAAAATTATCGTCCCCTCCTGCTACTACAGTAAGTCAGCAATGGCCCTTCTGTGGTCAAAATGGCAAATTCAGCAGCAGCTATTCGACAGGGATTTGCAAAAACTTCCCTATGGCTGTTAGGAATCTTATTCAGCAGTGTCTTTGAAAATCCAATTCTGTGCAGAATTAACTATGTAGAAATGACCTCGGTTGTGATTTGTTTAAAAAGAGTTTTAAACAAATCTAATTTGTAATTTTTCTCAATGTGAAATTTTGCATTTAGTGCTGCAAAGTCTATGGGGGGGGTGTGTGTGTGTGTATACATACACACCATTCTTAAATTTAACATGGTTCAGAATTTTCTTTTCATATTAATGTAAATTCCTGGCTTTATAGAGTCAGTTCACCATACAAAGCCACTATACATCACTTAGGTTTGTGATGAAAGAATGGAATTGCAGCTGTGTGAGTACCAGAATACCCAAACATGAATTAGGCTCACAAGCATTTGGCAATAGTTCAGAAAAGGAGCTTAATCTGGTTTCATCTGAGACTGCTTTTCTCTGTTCTACAACATCCCCCCAAGATGTTGTGTCTGATATTGGATCACAACGTAATGGGAGTGACGCAAAATCAGAGAAAGCCCTAAGAAACCGGGGCCACATTTGTCTTTCTTCAGAGATTTTGTTTTTTCTCTTCTACTTCTTTCTTCTCTTTCCCAGATTCCAACTCTAAAATTCAAGGTCATTCACCTATTAGATGAATTAATTATAAGCCAAAAAGCAGCATTCGTTGTACTCTGATCTCACTCATATCTATAATTAAGGGTAAATATAATCTTCCTTTTTAGAAATGTACCACCCACCCATTACGTTTAAAGTGCTGACTGAAATGAAATAATAGTTCAGAGCAAGATGATTTTAGTTTAAGAAGAAAAAAAATTGATAATTTAAGCTTGAAGCAGTTAGTTCTATTTTTGATTACCATTCAGTTATAAATCTAATTTGAGATATATGCTGCCTTTCTGTTATTCAAGTTTAATTCATGGTTTGCATTCTTGGTTACATAAGCCAAGTTCAGTGGTTGATCAAGGCTGTTAAAAAGCTTCCCCCAAAAGAAATGGGAGCAGGGTTCAGGTGGAGGTAGAAAGACAGTCTGAGACCCAGAACCGGTGTCAAACAGCAACAGTTTTCAGTGAAGGGAGCCCCGTAGAGCACTGCGCTTGGCACGGCAGTGGCTGTGCTGGGCCCAGCTCTCCATGGCAGCCCTGGCTGCGGGAGGGGAACCCCGAAAATGGCTAAACCTGATCACCACTATTTGCCTATTTTATTCTTTGGTTAGAGTACTTCGAGTCTTAAAATTGTTTGTCTTTCAGTGAAATAAAGAGCGCATAAGGGGAAGGGCTCTTCTCATCACATTGCAGACAGTTAAACAAAATGCTAAGCTATGGGTTTAAGATTTACAGGTTGGCTCTTTGAGATGCCACATCTTGCTTCCAGTGTTTCCTGGCAGACTTGGGCAGCCTTCTACTGGGACCCAGCATAACCGCAGAGCATGAGCTTGCACAATGTCAAAAACCTAAACCTTTCTAATCCTATTTAAGGCAAAGATGAATTGGCCCATTTTAAAAGGAGACTTCAGCTTTTAAACTTAACTTTTATTAACCATAAATTTGGCTTTATATTCTTGTAGGCAAATTCATATATAAACGAATTCCTTCTCCATTTTAGGCAATATCTCATTTATCTTATTAAATCAAATGCTATTAACTTTTTTAAATTTGTAAACTCATGTTTTTCAGCTGGTGGACATTTTTTTATCTTTCTCATTGCTACAGAGTTAAGTGACGTAAAGGCCAAACAATAGTAAATGGTCATTGTTCACTTCACGAGTATGCTCTACAATAAGAATACATATATTTTTATCTTAATTTTCCCTGGGGGAGTAATTAGGGCCCCCTTAAGTGTGAGGATATGCTTATTTTTGTTACATTAGAAGAATGATTCCATTGTCTGAGTGAAAAAGAAAAAAGTCTAAACAAACGGATCTAAAAAGATAGAAACCGGAATGTGCTTTGTGAAGAAAAAAAAGATTATCATGAGCCATTGAATGTTTGTAGGTGCTGTCTGGTCTTATATTGAGTCACTCTACATAGTTCATGTGGCTGGCAGCACATTTAAGAATCGGATGCATGCTTTATTTAAAATTGGCTCACGAAATAATTTTCTTTTAAATAAACAACAATAAGGTCAGCCAGGGGCAGTTAGCTATTGTCTAGTTATCATTTTATATTTTTTAGATCTCTATTGTGAATGCTGCTAAAATACAGTGTAGCAAGCATGTTTGTTTTTATGTCGACCTATTGAATGGATCTACTTTCTTGAGAGTGAAAACCTTTGCCACCAGCACCAACAAAGTAAAGCAGTGGTTAAGCTCATTAGAAAGACAAGCAAGGATTTCAACGTATTTGCTTAGCCCTTTTCTGGATATTTTGTATAATTTTAGAAAAATAAAAAAGAAGAAATAGGGTAATACCTATCTAGAATACAAAGTTATCCATGGTTAACAGAAGGGGGAAGGAGGGCAGGGGAAGACTGAGAATGTAAAGGGAGTGAAATGTATGGTTTGGGAAGGAAATTAGACGTCAGGTGGTAAGCACACAGTGGCGTATAGGGGTGTCCTATTATAAAGTTGTACACTTGAAACTTATATACTGTTATTAATCAGTGTCACCCAATAAACTTAAAAAGTAAAGTATAAAACAGCTGTCAGTAATATAATTTTTAAACACCTATTTTCAATAAAATACTCATTTGTATGTAGATTTACCAAACTATAAGGAGCTTGTGATTTAAATCAGTCATACATTTATTGATGAACATTTCAAAGAAAACTTGGATTTGTACTTAAATAAATAGTAGACTCTGTTAATAAGATTTACCAGGAGTGAGATTTCGGATTGCGATTCTAAAATTTTTTAATGTGACTTCTAAAATGATAAACCATTTGGTGTTATATTGTTGGAGTCCTGATTTTGTAGAAATCTTTATTATAAAGAGCTCTTCATTTTCATTTGTTATTTCATAGCATTTTGACATCTTAAATTCAGAAGGGGCTGTAACTGAGCATGTGGATGTCAGATTGTTATCTGATAATCTGGTTTTTATTAGCTATTTATGTGGTAAATATTAAGATACTTGCAATGAGTTTATTTTCAAAATGCACTTCCACCCTGAAATCTCATCCTTGAAGTTTTATTTTAAAGTAAGGTTTATTATGTATCCCTTCAAAAAGTCTGAAACTGGAATCAGGCAAAGGCGAGCTTGTCAGTAGCTGATTAGTCCTTTATCTATTACTCATCCAGCACTCACAAAAATCCCTGGGAGTGGAGAGGGTCTCTTTATGATATTTAGCTATATGGCAGTGGAAAGGGGAGGTTTAAATTTTTGATTTTCCAGCTTATGGGTCATATTTGACCAACTGCTTTCACTAGCAGACATGCCACTTTGTTGAGCTATTTAGGAATCAAAAAGACTGCCTTAATTTAAAACAAGGACCCTTTGTTTTAGTTGGTGACTGCCTTGTGAAATTTTTCAGTTCTCAGCGGGTTAACCAGGGAACAGGGGCAGAGTCATAATTGGCCTATTTAGAGTATTTTGCATGTGAATAGTGTGTTAGTGAAGCATCCCTAAGTCTGTTGTGAGTGACATGGTGATTAGAATTTAGATTAGGGAAAACACATTCTGTACTTTATCAAGGACAGTAATTAGTTCAGTCAGTAAAAGTTGATTACAAGTAACGATAAAGTTAGATTTTTAGTACTTAATTTTAAAATTTCTTTATTAAACAGTAAATTTGTTCTTAATATAAATGGTAGTATCTACACTTATTTTCTAGCATATCAGAATAATTAAAAGAGCAATGTGTTCAATGCAGAGTATAATCAGGCGATTTATATGTTATGGGTAAGTTTCTATGTAGTTTTTAGAAAATGTAATATTTATTATATAATCTTTCATGTGTCATCATTTTCGAAGGTTTAGTAATTTGTCACACCGTGATAAGTTAATGATATTTGTGAAAGTTTTCTCATGTTCAGGTAAATGTTTAATCTGTGGGGATGTGTTTTAGCCTCTGATAGTCCTCAAGAGGGCATTCTAAAGTTCTTTAATTTGTTCCTGTTAGCTGAGAAAGCCTACTCTGTCTACCATTTTGGGAGTTAACGTGAGGATTTGAATTTCCTCCCGGTTCAGTTGGCATTACCTTTTCTGCGGGCTCCGTGTCAGATCGTGGGAGGTCATGCGCTGCCGGAGCAGAGGCAGGGTTCTCGGTGGACCTGAGCGCCTACCCTCACCCCCACCGGGAACACCGCGAGGTTGCGTGCGTTCGAAAAGCAGAGGCTTCTTGGCTCTTGTTAAGGAAAGGCATGAATAGTTCCCAGATGTGAGCTTAAGTTGAGATAAAGAAAACATTAGTCTTACATAAATGCCCTTTTCTTTTAAATTAAAATGTTAGTCGTCTTAAAAGATTAAAATATTGCTTCAAAGGGAATCACCTTCTACCTTCCTCTCAAAAGCAAAGAATTAAAAATTCACAAACTCTGTACTAGCTTCTGCGACTGCTTTTCTTTTCCTTGTTGTTTTGTCGTGTTTTAATTGTTTTAGCTTAGCAGATGCTGTTTCTTTATTGCATTGGTTTAAGTACTAACAATCAGTTGGGGGGTGGTGAATGTGGAAAATTAACCTTATATGTTTGTCTTCCCTTTTTAACCTTTTAGCAGAGTCTCCTGGGAGGTGACATGGATATGGGCAACCCAGGAACCCTGTCGCCCACCAAACCTGGTTCCCAGTATTATCAGTATTCTAGCAATAACCCCCGAAGGAGGCCTCTTCACAGTAGCGCCATGGGTAAGGTGCTCCTCTGTTTGAATGACTGAGTGATTATTAGCAGTCTTTTTTCCCCCTTTCCTTTCTTTTTTAATACCACCTTCTCATCCTGACCTCACCCCACCCCTCCAAAGGAAAAATTCTTAAAATTCTGCTCCATTGTCAGGCTCATGACTCCCCCTCAGTAGTACATTGGGTGGGTATGTTAAGAACTTAAAGTAGCAGGAGAACTGTTATGGTGAGCACTTAGTGCTTACGTTCTCTTGGCTGCCCATAGAAGAAATATTTTAAACCACCAAAGCATTAAAAAGTTAAATATCTTCACTTTCATGAAAAAGGCACAATGTTAGTTCTGCCAGAATAAAAGATGATCATGGTACCAGCATTTTGCTAAGGTAACGATTTAAGAAAACCTGGTCTCATCTGAAAGGCTTGGTGGTTTAATCTGCTTTAGTTGGGAAAGTGGGCCTGCAGGGAGCTCACAGCCTCTTCGTTTTCTTTCAGAGGTACAGACAAAGAAAGTTCGAAAAGTTCCTCCAGGTTTGCCATCTTCAGTAAGTACTGCTTGTTTCCGCCTTGCGTGTGGTTATTTCCTTCTGTTTTGTGAGATGTGAGGGCTATGGACTCAAGGTTCCGTGTGCCAGAGCGGCATGTCTGTCTAGAATGGGGACAAGGAAGGAACGGCCTGCACCTGACCCCCACTGGAGCGCATGCTGGCGTGTTCTGGGGGACTAGGTGGTTGTGTGGATGGGTGTTCATTCCTTCAGCAGCTTAAGCTCTGAAGAGAGCCTTGAAAAGGTGCCTCAAGTTCCAGGAGTTTTACCTGTGCAGAGCTTTCAAGAGAATGAGTATTAGTTTCATGTGTTGGTTACATTCTTTGTCAGTATTATGATGATTTATGGATTTGCATGCGAAAGGAGATTTGTGGAGGGGATTTAGGAAAAATTTACATGGGTTTCAGCCCAGAGTGCAGAGAGAATGTCTCTATTTTCTAGAGAGGTTACTGAATAAAGGCTGCAAGGTAGCTGCATCAGTAGCCATTTGTGTCTGGAATAGCAGGTGACAGCAAGAATCCAGCTGTAACCAAAAGCATTCTGGGTGTTCGTAAGAGCTGGAGCTATATGCAGGAGTGGCTGAGGCCCCTCCAGTCCCCAGCGTGGCAAACTGTGCTGTGATCACAACAAAATATGCACTACCTTATTTTCACTTCTTAATATATATTGTATTTTCAAATTTGAGGTCCTGGATATTTTATTTAGAACTGGTCTGTTACTAGTAAGCTTTTCCTCGTGTAGAATTAAAATATGAGTTCTTCAATTCTTGTTTACTCCTGCTTTTCTCTTATTTTCCATTCTTTTTTTCCATGAGATGGCTATTTTAATTTAATTCTCTGTTCTGTAGGACAGTAGTATTCTTTGACAAGAATGATAATGGGCCTGTTGTAAGTTCTTATACTCTAAAATCAAATTATGTTAGATTTCTGAAAATATATTACTAATCAATGCTTGCATATTAGTTTTAACTTATTTTTAATAAATTAGAAGAATAATAGTTTTTTGCAAATGCACTGTTAGGTTAACCAAAACACCTGTGTATTTTCCTTGATCTCAGTTCAGTTCATCTAAACTATTATTAAGCAAATATATCAGAATAAGTCTTATCAGGGGAAAAAACATATTTTGTATGCTGGTTATCATAGATGTGATAATGTTGAAGAGACATCACAAAATTATCCATGAATATAGACAAATGTCTTATAAATACAACCGCCAATGACATAAAATAGTCACTTTGGACTATTTTGTAAGTCACTTAAAAATGTACTGAGTGGTTTATTTTTTGATTTTTCTATGCTGTATTGAACTTGACTAATATCATCTCAGGTTTTTATAAGCATATTTTGAGCTTGAAGTTTGTGGTGGATTTAATGTAGATGAAACTTTAGCTTTTAATAGCTTTTATGACAACTTGAAATGATATAGTCCTCACAGCTGTTTACATTTTAAACATGCCTGAACCTAATATGGACAGTATTAAATACAGTAAGTGAACCTTCGAATGTTCTGAAATGATAGGATAGCTCTGTGCTCTAAAAGCCATGTAGAACTTAAGGCTGTAGTACCTTATTTATGCTTCATATTCAGATAGTTTTAGTTTGTTTTTTCCAGTGCTGAAGTAATGCAGAAGTCTGCAGTTTCTAAGGGGTGCTTTTGTGTGGTTTAGTATCTATCTGCTTATTCATTATTAACAACAATTTCTCATAATTCATTTTAAATTTTTAAGTATTTTTCTGGAGGGAACTGACCAGTATAGAAAATTTCACTGGTATAGCTTTTTCTTTGCTATTGAGACAATCATTATATGTGTGCTCACATGTTGTCATGTATTCTGAAATACTAAAGTATATTTCCCTTTTGAATAAATCTGGTATTGGAAATTTAGTTTACATTATTTAATTTTTGGTTTTGGTGCTTAGTTTAGGATTTACTCTTCATAAAAAGTGTATTTTGGCTAAATGCTTTAGTGATCCTTATGGAACATTTTGGTAAATAGGTCCCCTTTTCTGAAAGACAAGGAAGGAAATTCTATTGAAATGGAAATTTTATCCTTTTTTTGTGTTTGATTTTCTGTTTTATTCAAGAAGAATAAGCTAGTTTGGTTAATTTTCAGAATTCAATCATTTATTTATTGTCATTACTTAAAAAAATTCTCAGCTTTGTTTCAATAGCAGTTTAACTTAGTTTACACTGGTTTTGTTGTATTTATTGATCACATGCGTTACCACACAAAGTACATATTTTATGTTGACCCAAGGAGATGATCTGTAGTAAACACTGTAATATTTTTGCCTCCATAGATCTATATTTCTGCATTTTTAGATCTCTGCTATTCTTACTCTCTTTTTAAGCTAAAAAAAAATTATGAATATTTATTTGATAAGAGATACCTCTAAAACTTGCTTCAAATGTATGAAGATTTTCATCACAAATAACAAAAAATTGTGGGTAATAAAAGGTTTCTTTTGGAGTGATTATGACTAAAGACATTTGTATGTTTTCTTCCATACATATTTACCATGATAAATAATAATAAATCTGTCACAATCTGTTGTGTCAACTCAGTTGTTTTTTAGTTTTCAAAATGGGCCTTTTCCTTAACATAAAACAAAGGAAATGTGAACTGTAACATCTGTAATCAGATGTTTTTTGTGACACGACTGTGGTACTGAGGCTGGACCTCCCGTGCAGCCAGAGGGCTGGGTCTTCCCTGGGGCCCAGGAGAGCGAGGGGCCTGCCTGGCCCTGTGGCTGAGGCCACAGCAGCGTCTGTGGGAGAGAGAACGTAAGCCTGGCCCAGCATCAGAACGTGCTCCTGGCAGGGTCCTGGGCTGTGTGTGTGTTCTGCGTGCCGCATCTCGAGACCTCAGGTCACTGCAGAAGCATGTCAGCGACAGGGCTGAGGAAGAACCATCCGGCAGGATTCACGGCACAGGCGCAGTGGAGGGGCGGACCTCTGTCCCTCTGGAGAACAGAGGCCTGCAGTCGGGGCTGGGGGGACCTTTTTTTTTAAGAGGAAAGGCTGTGTGAAATGACAACTCTAATTGCCCACGAGAGCCCTGTTAGTACAGCAGAACATTTTCATGTTCTCTGTTCAAGTTTTAGGACGTTGCTCTTTTCAGTCACATTCCAATTTCTTGTAGCCCTTATCTGGTGATGAGACTTTAGTAATAAAGATTTGTCTTTAGTTGATGGCAGAATTTGTTTTCTTGTCTAATTTCTTGAATCTACTTGTGAACATCTTGTTTGATTTTGACATCCTGGTTTTCTTTTTAAAATCATTTATCATCTTAAACCTAGTATTTTTCAACTCCACTGCTCTTTCCAGCAAATGTCTTATCTTTGCATAACCTAATAATCATACATATTAAATCATGAATTTATGCAGGAAAAAAGAGACCTCTGTATATCAAATTTATGGAAAGATGATCCATGATTCTTAGAAATTACCTAGAAGCATTAAAGTCTAGATAGAAAGCAAGAAGATTTTCTATTGTTTAATTTAAAAATATTTTTTCTAAACATAAAGACATCGATTGCCGTTTAGAATGTTCTTTAGCCCACCGATACGTAACTACCCAAAACTTTCATTTTATTATCATTTGGAATGTTTCAGAACGATGTACATTTTACTAAAAACTATTAGTAACTACAATCATTTCACTTCAAACATTGGTGGAATCTGTCTCCACTACTTATCCAGTTTGGAAACTTCAGTGAATTTACTATCATTATCAGCTGAAATCCCTAGAACTTAAGAGTTCTTGGGAAATAAGATTTATCCTTAGAAATAGTTTATAATCTCTTGTATCATTAGTTGTCCTTTACTCACATTGCACTTTTCAGTAAAATCTATTTTCTGTGTTGAATTGCGGGGGGGGGGGGGTGTGTGTGTGTGTGTGTGTGTGTGTGTGTGTGTGTGTGTGTGTGTTTTGGTTTGAAATTCAGGAGGATCTGCCAAACTTTGTATTAAGTGGTCAGAGATCATTTTGGATTAATGAATTTTAAGGAAAACAATCTCTACTATAATAAAATTTGGAACCTCCAAGAAAATTTGAGGCATCAGTTAATCATTCTGTGGTTTTGAAAAATAAATACTCAATAGGTATGAGATACCAGGTTTAACAATTTTCATAAGGAAAGAACTCTAAATAAAATAATATCATAAAGTTTTGATGAGACTTTTTTTTACAGAAGAAATTATTAGAAATACCAGGGAAAGATGGCCAGTACTGATGACATTAATTGTTTTGTGTGGTTTTCATTATATAAAACCCTTCATATTTCAAACATGATGTTGAGTTCATACCTGAAGCTTTTTTTGTGTGTGTGAAAACAACTGTTTTCTCAAATGCATGATGAACTCACAAACAATTTAAAAGCGAAGTTGATAAATTGTTTTTTCCTTATTAGAGTCCTAGAAATTATGTATGATCAAAAAATTCAGTACTTAAAGTGCATAATTTTCCCCTTCACTTTTGAAATTGATTATAAGGAAATCACTATGATGTTTTATCATGTCAACCAAATTTTAACTTCAGTGACACTACAAGATTTATTAAAATGAAATTTATATGAAGTTTGAAATGAACTGCCAGTCACCTGGTCTCCCTCCTGGAAGTAGCCAGCCAATTGTGTGATAAAAGGATCCTGTTCAAGATTCATTCCTGGAGAGGTAGATACTTTGTGAAAAAATAGAACTCTAGATGTCTGCATTAAAATACTCAACTTTAAACTTAGTATGCTCATTTTTCAATTAAAGATAATAAAATATGAAATGTGGATATTAAAATTGTACTTATTAATTATGAAAGTGTATAGACAGGAAGAAGGTGAAGGATAATGCAATTAAATCATCCCAAATAGGAAAAATGTATCATTCACACAATTGACATAGAAGGCTTAATGTGACACTGGGGAACACCTTGAAATTTGACTAAATATGCACTACAGAGCATTTATTATTTTGTGCAGTTAATACTGAATTCAGTAAACCAA